GATAAAAAAAACTCGAATATGTGGGGCATATAATGAGACGAAGCAGAGACAGGATAATGCAGTTGATACTCAACGGAAAGATGGAAAAAGAGGAATTGCTAGAAAGAAATACTCATAGCTCCGAAACTTTCGTCAATGGACTGGCTTATCAGCAGACGAATTAATACGTGCCGCGCAAGATCGAGGACGATATCGGCAAATCGCCATGGAAGCTACCCACGCCAGAATTTGGACATGATACTCAAAGAAATAGATAGACTAATTATATTAAAGGTTTTTTCATGGAAATAAGACAGCAACCAACACAAATTAATAACGAGAAAGTTCCAATAATATGGTACCGGTCTATGCTTATAAGTGGCGGGAATTTTAAAATTTTTTATAGACAGGTATATAAATTTGTTCTCATTATTCAATGAAATATCTTTAATAAACAAGCTGCAGTTAATCTTCTTCTTCTTTAAGTACCATCTCCTCTAAGGAGTTGGTAATCATCACAGCTATTTTCACTTTTGAGATTGCAGCTCTGAACAAGTCGACGGAACTGCAATTATACCACTTTCTCAGATTGTTGAGCCAGAGATGCGTCTTCTTCCAATACTTCGTTTTCCCTGTGTTTTTCCCTGCATTATGGTTTGTAGCAACACATATTTATCCCCTCTCATAACGTGGCCGAGATACTGTAACTTTCTTATCTTAATCGTATTCATGATTTCCATTTCCTTTGTCATCTTTCTGAGGACCTCAACATTTGTTATTCGGTCTACCCAACTTATTTTTAATATTCTTCGGTAGGTCCACATCTCGAATGCTTCAAGTCGATCGCTCACCTCTTTCTTTAAGGTCCAGGCCTCCACCCCACACAGCAGCACCCGAAAACACATAAGAACGTAATATTCTTATTTGAGTTGTAAACTAAGGTCTCTACTGCATAATACATTGTTCATCTTATTAAATGTTGCTCTAGCTTCTCCAATTCTCATTTTTATTTCTCTGTATCTCGTTATTTCTTAATATTTCCAGATATCTGTATTTTTTTACTTTTTCTATTGAATCCTCTTATGTTTAACTGTCTTGTTTGTGTTTGAAATTGTCATAAATTTGTTTGATTAGCATTAAGCGTTAGTCGCTTTCCTCACTAGCATTTACTACATTATCTAAAAGTGTCTGTAGATCTTGTATATTCTCTGCAATTAGTATAGTAGTTAATAAAGTTAATAAAATAATAAAAAATTTAAAACCAAAAATGTGCCAAAATAGGACAGTATCTAAACAACAGTATAAAATTAATGGAATTTATTTACCGCCAAAACCGGTATCAGTAAAAAATTTGTATACCGTTTTAAAAGTATGTAAAACTCGTCAAATGCTTTCTTAAAGATAATAAAGTGTTAAAAAACAGCTAAGTTACACATGCCATTGCTATTTAGTTGAAAACGTCTCTGTTCTTGTTAGAAATTAATTTAATCATTTAAATTTGATAAAAAATCTACTTAGAATTTCAATTAGAACATTTTTTAAATAATAATAACTTACCTAAAGGTCAAGTAGTATAAATATGTATCTCTTAATTATTGGTATAAACACGAATTGAATGTATGTAAACCTCAGAATACTGTCATGTTTCAAGAGGTTTGCCTCCTGGTCCTTCTGTTTTGGCAACAAGTTCCGCATTAAATCTAACACCAAGATCTCACTGCATCCAGTCAATTGGTGGCTGTAGTTCAGGTTTGTATTAGAGTTTTCTTTGTCTTGTGGGCCAAATAGACTGACTGCATCCTCAAGAATCACCACTAGATATTTAAATTTAAATTATTCAGAAATACTGGATATTAGTGACTGTCGATATAAACAAACAGCACAGTTTATTAGGGTTGCAGTCAGAATATTGGCCGGGATGTTAAAAAAAAACACTCTTTTGACTTTTTGTCTAGTTTTCGGAATGGTTTCATTCCTTTTTTAAGACACTGTAGTAAGTCAAATATGTAAATATTTAAAAAATATCACAATTCTTCAGTGTAACTTACTAGTCGTTGAGATTATTTATAAAAGCATTGACACTTAACATTTGGACTTAACACTTAACATTATGGACAAAATACATTCTAAAATTTTTAAAATCTATAGTAAAGATAGTAAAACCCAGTTAATGGCATGTTTTACTGATGTGTTTTAACTCATATGTATAGAGAATGGAAAATAAAAACATTTAACATTTTCTTCTTCTCCTCAGCGTATTTCCGGTAATTCTTCTCAGAACTTTCATCTCTGAAGATGAAAGTACTGAGTTTCGAGTAGCTTTTGTGTTGTGGCTGTGTCGGGTCTTGTTTCTAAGGCTATAAATTCTTGATTTTGTCTTAGTCTTATTATGCTATAGCGTCATATATGTTTTAGAGATAGAGCCACCTCTCTATATTATATGTCACCTCTTATAGTACCTTATAGCCACCTCTTATAGTATACCTCTCTATTGTATACAATTTGTGGCGGCAGCTCAAGATATAATTATTGTTTAACGAGATTTTTTATATGTTTAGGAAAATATATTCAACGTTTTATTGCAAATATTTTCCACTTTTACAGTTTTATATATGTTGGTATTAAAATTTTTCCGGTTTCTTACCGGTAGCTTTATTATACACCGGAATATAATATTTTTTCTCATTGCAACAAAACTGTAAATTTAAAAATTTTCAAAAAATTCATAAGTATTTCTTAGGGTTATATCTTTATGCTGTAAGAAAATTAACAAAATTGTATGTCTGGTTTTCCCGCTTATATACTTGGAAAAAAGTAGTTTTTTTAGAGTTTTCTCGAAAACGAAAACATGAAGTTTGTTCAAAATTTGTCAAAATACTTCTAGTTGTCACATATACCTTCTCAATTTTTTTCAAATTTTTTGAATTTGTAGTTTGTCTTTTGGGGGGTGCAGATCAACCTTAAGGCATCCTACCTGTCTATTTGCTTTTTGTACTTGATCTTTTACTTTTTTGTTCAGATCTCCATAGCTAGACAGTGAAATTCCTATGTATTTTATTTCCATTACTCGTTTAATACTGATGCCATCAATTTCTATTTTACTTCTGGTTGGTTATTGGCTGACTACTGTTGTTTTAGTTTTCTCAAATGAGATTGTCATATTAAATTCGTTTGATCTTATGTTAAATCTATGGGTCAGTCTTTGCAGACTATCTATATCTTGGGCGATCAATATTGCGTCGTCTGCATAATAGAGTATTTTTAACATTAAAAGTGAAACTGGAACAAAACCATGAAGTGGAGGTATCAAGGAGTGGCTAGTATACCTGTTGAATCCAAAGCACGTGGTGTTCGTGTATATCAAGGTATAAAAAATGCTTATTAAAAGCTTAAAACTTTTATTTTTAAAGAAGATCTTTTCGGAATTCAATCATTCCATCGTCAGTTTAATAAAATGTTGTTAAAAACATTGTTTGGCCAAAGAAAAACAATAGAAGGACATCAGTAACAAAAACAATCTTCATGGAATTTACAGAGGTAAATGCAATAGACCGTTAACTTCGGTACTACCTATTGATCTGTGCTAGAGTCTAGGGTTAACTGATAGTAAGATGGTATGAAAATTCAGTCAGTAGCTGTCAACGTCAAGTGGAATGATTTTCAAGAGTATTCGGTCAAGAGTATTTTTATTTCTTTGTTGCTCATTCTATATCATCGTTCTTTGTTGACGCTTTCGATGATTTCATCCATGATCAAATTGAAGAGCATGGAGCTCAATGAATCCCTGCTGCCTATTTCTATAGCTTCTGTAACTTTCTATATCATTCTGACTTCCGTTTTGTTGTTTTGGTAGCTGTTTTCGATAGTTTTTATAATGTTACTTTATCAAACGCTTTCTTTAGGCCAATCAGACAAAAATGCTGGTCTCTTATATTCTAGTGATTTCTCAGTAATTTGTTTTATAACAAACAATGCATCTGTATACGATCTTCTACTAGGAAATCCCTATTGCTCTAATTTATTAACTATCCTCTAATTTATTAGCACTTATAAGTTTTAACGTAGTATTTAACAAGTTTATACATCTGTAGTTTTCTGGCTGATTTTTATCTCCTTCTTTGAATAGTAGAATTTTCTCATTCTTAATTCTTCCGGTATTTTATTGTGTTTTATAATTTTATTAATTAATGTTGTTAATTGTTCTGTCATTGCTGCTCAACAATATTTTAGTTATTCGTTTGGTATCATCTCCTCTTCACCTGCTGCTTTTCTGTGCTTCAGGTTTTTAAGTAATTTCCTAACTTTCTGTACATTTAGGTACATCAAATTCTTTATTTGTGGTGTTCCTTTACCTCCATGCTTTGACTTATTATGAAGTGCAGTAGTAGGATTGAGCAAGCCAGAACAGCATTTACTAATATGAGAACATTGCTAAACAACAGCAGCCTTAATTTAACGCTTCGATATCGCTTTGTAAAATGTAACATTAAGTCCAGACTGCTATATGGTGTAGAAACCTGGACCATAAAGGCCAATGTGATGAACTGATGAAATGTGGGTATTTAGAAGATTACTTAAAATTCCCTGGACAGATCACACAACAAATGTCGAAGTATTCAATCGAATGGCAGAGAACGAGAATTGCTGCCAATAATAAGAACAAGAAAAACTGCTTATCTGGGTCATATATTTCGAAATTCCAAGTACCAGTTCTTAAAGCTTATTATGGAAGGGAAGAAAGAAATACTCATGGCTTAAAAACATAGGGCATTGGACAAACATTGATGCCCATGCACTCTTTAGAGCCACACAAGATCTACAGGAGTATGCCATAATTATCGCCAACATATACTAATTGGATAGGGCACCATAAGAAGACGATATTTCCTTTTGCAGACCATAAAAATCATGGTCTATTTTTTTTTAATATTTCTTATGAGTGTACCAGTTTTAATTATTACGTCCTAAAATTAGATGGTAACAATAATAACATCATATTTCTATATTTTAGTTATTTAGACATGGGACACAGAACTCCTGGAAAATATTACAAAAACGATCAATATTCTGATCCAAAATATTGGAATGGGCTTGACTATGGAGAGCTAACAAACGTAAGTAAATGCCGACAGAAATAATATTATGACTTAAGACGACGTCTTAAGGTAAATATTTTTACAACATTTATTTCTTGCATGTATTCTAAGTACAATGGATGCATTATTCCAACGTTAAGACCCTCCTCCAAGTACATTTTTTTTACTTTTATCTGGTGTAGTGGGAAGGCACCACAGGAGAAAGTTGAATGTCATTTCGTATGTAGTTTAAGATGCTTTCATCAATTTTATTTGGTCTTGTAGCTTCTCACTTCTATCTGCCTTATGGGATCCACTGTTTCCAATTTTTCCTCAAGCGGTTGTTATCCACTGTTCGGATATTCCATAGGTATTAAGTAAGATAGCTTTGCAAATCTGTATGTCGTTATTGTTAAGAGCTAGTATATATTTTCTAGAAAAATTTTATCTTGAATTGTCGTCTGTTTTTCTCACTTATTTTTTATCCACTTTCTTAACGTATCTTGCTATGCATTCCCATTGTCTAGTGTGATCACTTATTTTTCAAAATTTGCCAGACAACATCTTTTTATTTTCCTTACTTGTCTTCTCTCGACATTTATTTCTGCAGTTTCCTTTACATGGATTTTTCATCAATCTGACAAGAATAAATTGACCCTTACGGTTTTTGTGTTCGATCCCTATGTTGAAATCTTTCTTAGTCTTAACATCAAGCCACCCACTTGTATTTTTTACACGCTTTCTACCTGTTTTTTCTTTATCTGTCATCTTACACTTTCTATAGACCTTGACATCCTGAATTTGACTTTTGAGGTTAGTATCTGGCATATTAGTGAAATGCGGACATCGCGACACTAAGAAATGTTTGTATAGCAACGAGAAGAAGGTTAACAAGAGCAAAAGGCAGAGTAGGAATTAACCCTGAGGTCATCGAGGAGATCGAGGAAGAATACCGCGCAAGGAAGAGGGAACTGTACAGGAAAATCCGTACAAAAAAAGAAGGCACTGGAAAGAGCTGCGTGAAAAGTTGGGTATGGACATCTGGGATCAGGCGTGTTTCTCTTTACAAAATGCCTATGGACAAGAAGCTTGAGGTAACAAGAGAGCTCTTTCCTGAAGGCAGATGTCATGGTGTATGGAGGGATGAAGGATCTGAGCGGGTTGTACCCTTTACCATGGATGAACTTATCGAGTCATTGGGTTCACTAAAGACACTGATTAGGTCCCCCGGACTGGATCAGATACTACATGAGGCGGTGAAGGGTCTAGGACGCGTGGAGCCTGCGTGGTTTCTGGAACACATGAATGCACTGCTGGAAGGACAAATCTTTCCTGAGCCTTGAAGGGCATCGAGATTAATACTGATTCCCAAAGCTAGGGAAAGGTATCACCCCATCTGTCTTCTTCCATGCATCAGTAAGAAATGTGGTGGCGGAGTATCTGTCCGAGCGAAGGATTATGGTGGAAAAGGGCACGATCGGGACGTGACTCTAGAAAAGTGGTCACGCTGTATGAGTAAGAATACGTGAGTCAGAATGTGGGAAAGGAGGAAGTGCCCGTCTGGGAATGATGTCGAACTAGGAGCGATGAGTGTCTCCTGCGCGCTACTTGGAACGAGACAGGGATTTTCCTTGCTGATGAATAGAGAGTGGATGTGTAGAAATGAAAAATGAATGGATAAAGGTAGTACTTCGGAAGTTATGCCGGCCCTACAGCGGCAATTCCGCTTCCAGATCGCTGGATAACAGAAGAGGGTCTGGTTTAGCAGGTAGTCGTTCGCGTAGACTCGGCGACGGGAGGGCATTTTAAAATACCTCTTGAACTATCGCCTGGATTACGAAAGCCTGAGATGTCTAAGATTCCAGACCGGTCTCTATAAACACGAAAAAAAAATTTAATGGGTCAGAATTTGATGTTTGTTTAGATTTATAATTATGTTTAAAATCTAAACTATCTGACAAGTTTCCAGATAAGTTGTTGGTGTTATCAACAGTTATATCAAGTAATAATGATGTACCTGCTTGTGCATTATCAGCACTGATGTGTTAGTCTGTAGAGTGCTGGCTGAAAACAAAGTTTGTATCATAAGATGAGCATCCTGCATCTGAAACAATGGGTACTTCACTAACACAAGTAACTTTATTGCTTGGAATGTCACCGGACACTAAAAAAAGGACCTGTTAAAATACATATATAATAAAAACAATCTACCTAAATACCTAAATTCACTTTATATTTGTTAATTTTACAAGCATAATAAGTAAACTTGGTTGTCGTTACATAGATTGTAATGTACATGTGCTAGAAGAGCATACTGTTTTTGAATGTTTTTTGGTTCTAAAATTATAATTGATGTTAGTAAGAAATGAGAAATTTAATTAATAAAGATCAAAGTTACCTGAATTTAATGACTCTTTTTCTCAGTTTTCAAAGTTTTTTACATTGTGCAAAATTTGATGTGTTTTTGATTTCATTTTAGTTCACGTTAAAAATATCTATTTTCATACAGCAGCTACATCAAATCTTTATAGTAGTATGTAGCAAACATAACTTACAATTACGGTGAAAACTATAGTAAGTCAAACTTGCAATACCTTCCGCGGCTTCTTGCAACGAAGACTATAACTCAACTTACTACAGTTTTCGCCTGCATAATTAAGGGTCAGTAAACTTACTATATGCAAATGCAAATGTTTTACTGGTTGCCTTAAAATGAATTCCTGAGATACCATATTCTTCGACCAAATAACGCTCAAAGAGAATAATAATACCATAATTGTGAGCCAAATGTAACATTTTTTGAGTTACTATAGTCTTCGTTGCATGGGTCGATATTTCGATTTCGTTGTAGTGTGGATTTAATCCAATTATTCACTTACCTTTAAAATACCTAGAATCTTATTTTTGTATATTTGTTTTTATTTTAGGAAGGAAAAAGGCAACACTATGATCTAGCAAAATTCACCAGAAGACGATACGGCAAATGGCTACCCCAAAAGTATAACAAAAGTGACTTCTACGCACAAACAACAGACGTTGATCGAACACATATGTCAGGACAAGCCAACATTTACGGACTTTATCCAGCAAAAAGCGAACAATCGTGGAAACTGCTGACTGATTGGCAACCCATTCCGCTACATCCAGCTGATCCCAATATTTGGGAAACATTCCCCAACTGTCCCGATTTTATAACAGAATACGTTAAAGTTCTTGCTTCTGATTTGTATGTAACTTTAGATAAACAGTACGCAGATGTGTATGTCTATTTATCAAAATATTCAGGTGAAAACATAACAACTTTAACAGAAGCATACACAGTCTTTGACTGCTTTAAAAGTGAATCCTCTGCTGGGCTTCGTCTGCCAAGGTGGGCTTCAAAAGTATATCCGCAACCATTAACACAACTTATGGGCTATTTTTTTCACGCTGTAGCTTATACGACTAAACAACAGCGATATTGTAAGTATATTTTTTAATAATATGTTGTTCTTCTTCATACTTTCTTGCTCTTGTTTTGTAAGCTATGTGAAGAAGTTTTTTCAGAATATTGTTTATTAACCCTTAACCACTGACATGCGATATGCCATACCGAGCCGAAAATATATTTTGTTGTAAAACGTGTTTTATAAAAGATTCTTAGAACACCATATGTGTACTTTCAAGTGGGGTTTAATTGTACCTGCTCTCAACTGCTGCAGTTTTAGTACACGTTTAGTCTTTGAGCTACGTTGACATAAAGTTTTCTTGCGGTATCAAGTACCGCATGTCAGTATTTACGTTTCTTTAGTTAAAAGCAGTGTAGTGTATTCTTTTGCTGTTAGTATGGCAGCAAGTTCATCCAGTTGTTCTAAATTTAACCGCAAAACTGTAAAGCTTTCAGATGATGATTTTGAGGCTGTTTTATCTCAATGGGCTGACGAAGTACCTAGTGATTTAGAATATTTTAGTGATAGTGATGTGGACGATGCAAGCGAAGATGTATGTATTGAAAGTTCACACGACACCGGAAGTGAGCAGTCGGAAAGTTCTGAAGACAAATATCATTTAAATGATAATGGTAAGTCATATTTTTATGGCAAAAATCATTTTAAGTGATCTACTACAGCACCCTCGAAAAATGTAAGAACTCCGTTACACAACCTTGTAACAAAAGTACCAGCTGTGCGGTCCAGAGATGTAAGAAACGAAACTTCATAATTTTTTTTTAATTTTCTTATTTCTGAAGATATAATACAAGAACTACGTAAATGGGCAAATAATAAATTACGTGCAATTCGTGAAAACTATAAAATATGGAATAGACCAGAACTAAATGAAATGATGAAATAGAACTAAAAGCCTTTTTGGGATTGCTTTTATACTCATCAGCTTTCAAATCCAATGACGAAGATATAATTTCTATATTTGCTACAGATGGCACTAGTAGAGATATATTCAAATGTGTTATGTCAAAAGAAAGATTTGCAATATTTCCAAAATGTTTACGTTTTGATAACCCTCTGGATAGAAAAGAAAGAAAAAAGATAGATCCAAGAGCAGGCATTAGTAACATATTTAATATGTTCGTATCAAATTGTCAAAAACTGTATTCCATAGGCACATGTGTTTGTATTGATGAAATGTTGGTCGGCTTTAGGGGAAGGTGTAGGTTTAAAATGTATATGCCTAATAAGCCTGTGAAATATGGGATTAAAATAATGTGAATGACTGATGCACGAACAAGTTACTTATACAATGCCTATATATATGGAGACAAGGACACTGACGGAACTGGGTTATCTGAGGAAGAAAAGAAGATAAATAAACCAACTCAATCTGTTCTTCGGCTTGCTAAACCTATTTATGGAACTAACCGTAATATCACAGCTGATAATTGGTTTAGTTCTATAGAATTAGTAAAGCAGTTAGAAGTACAGAAGTTTACGAATGTGGTAACCCCAAGAAAAATAAACGGCAAATCTCTCCGGAAGTTTATCCCTAATTTCCATGTGCCAAAAAAATTAAGGGCTGTTTTACTTATTTCTTCGATGCACCATTTAATAGGCACGGATCAGATTACTGAAAAACCAGAAATTATAGCTCATTGTAATCGATCGGATATCCAAAACACAAAGAGCAATGGAAAGACAGATGCTGGGTATCGGTCTTAAAGACAGGAAAAGAAACTCATGGATCAGAGAAAAAACAAAGGTGAACGATGTATCAAGACAGGTTGCAAAACTTAAATGGAACTTCGCCGGTCACACTTTCCGGCAAAAAGATGAAAGATGGAATAAGCGAATTCTACACTGGAGACCATCGGAAAGAAAGAAAAGAGGAAGACCACAGATGAGATGGACTGACGATCTTAAGAGAACGGCAGGAAAGGACTGGATGCAGATCGCCAAAATAGAGACCAATGGAGATTAACAGGGAGGCCTATGCCCAAGAGTGGGCGTTTAAGGCTGATTAGATAGATAGATAGATAGATAGATAGTAGATAGATAGATAGATAGATAGATAGATAGATAGATAGATAGATAGATAGATAGATAGATAGATAGATAGATAGATAGATAGATAGATAGATAGATAGATAGATAGATAGATAGATAGATGATAGATAGATAGATAGATAGATAGATAGATAGATAGATAGATAGATAGATAGATAGATAGATAGATAGATGATAGATAGATAGATAGATAGATAGATAGATAGATAGATAGATAGATAGATAGATAGATAGATAGATAGATAGATAGATAGATAGATAGATAGATAGATAGATAGATAGATAGATAGATAGATAGATAGATAGATAGATAGATAATAGAT